AAAAAAAAAAAAAAAAAAAAAAACATTTAAATGAATTGTAACTAAAAATTATTAAATACCCTCAATAATGTCCAGTAGTTTATCATTATTCATTATGCTACTAGTATCAGAGTGTGAGAGATTTGGTATTTTCTGCGGCCGCTCAGATTGATTTTCACTAACGTAATTCGTCTCTTGTATTTTCTACTCCAAAACAAAATAAAAATTAGACGCGCCTAGCAAACAATGTAAGTATTAAACGAAAAATAAATTTCACATTACCTTACGTTTTTTAATTTCTTCTTGTCTACAAAGATATTCTATTGAATGTACAGGTCGTGGTAGTGGTACTACGTCTATTGGTGGAGTAACAAACCAAAGCATTCTTCCTTTGTCGTCACGTGCAAAATGCTCGGCTAATTATGTGTTAAGATCTTAGCAAAATCATCTTAATGTTAAAAATATAAATATTAAGTTACTCAACTTGTTTCTGAAGGTAATTCAAAGCTTTGAGATGAATTATTGTTAGATACAATGGATGTCGTTCGGTTTAGAAAAGACTTGGGCATTGCTTTAGAAGTTGCCGGAATCTGAGTCGTCATATTATGCGTGGCCGGTGATGACATCGTTGGATAATGATGTGGGTGTACATACTGAGGAGAAATCAACATAGGCTGCGATTGTGGATGTTGATAATGAGCACCATATCCATAGCCATGTCTTCCCATCATCATCATCATAGATGGGTTCATTTGTGTCATTGGATACTGATGGTTATACTGTGGTTGCACATTAGAAGGATACTGTGAAGGTACAATTGGGTGTGGACTTAAATTATCGGTTGGCTGGTTGACTGTTTGTTGCCTTTTCATACTTATAGGTTTAGGTGTTGCCGTTTGTGTCATTGTTGTAGATGCAGATTCTGATACTGACACTGGTGTTGACGTCTGTTCAAATTCAGATGTTTCTAATTTTTGTGATTCGTCTACCTTGTCATGTGCAGCTAACCATTCAGCTGCTAATGGACTCTCTGTTTTTCTCAATGTAACCGGCGTCTCGTATTTATCAAGTTCAATTTTTTTAAAGTCAAATCCTTTGGGCATTACATGATGCCAATTCTTTATTCTATTAAAAACTTTGCTGCCTTCATTATATCTTGATTCGCATACATAAACTGACTTGTTCTCACTTCCTTTTGGCCGTCCTTTGACATAGTCTTTAACTTGCAAGACAAAACATTTTCCTAAAACATCTTGCACTAAGTGGTCATGAAATGTGTTTGTTTTGAACACTTCATTTTGGAAGAACTTCTTGCTAACTTGGTGCTTTGTTTGTTCAGGATGATAATACCAACAAACATTGACTCCGTTTTCGCCTCTAAGTAAATATGAACATTAGACAAACTATAAAC